TACCTTAAAGATGTCCATTGCAGCTCTGTTCACAATCAGAATAAAAAATTGAGGTTATCTAACTGTTTACCAGTAGATATGTAGTGGGGTCATATTCAAGGAATATTATTCATATTAAGAAATGTTATATAGGTATTCAAAAGAATGGTGCTCTTCAAAAAATTATGAATGGAATTACCATACAATCTGGATATATACCCCAAAGAATTGAAAACAGAGACTTCAACAGGTACTTGTACACCCATGTTTATATGGCATTATTCACAGTAGCCAAAAGGTGGAAATAACCCAAGTTGCCACAGACAAATGGCTAAACAAAATGTATGCATACACAATGGAGTATTATTCAGCCTTGAAAAGGAAGGAAGTTTGGACACCTGCTACAACATGGATGAAACTTGAGGATGCTGCTAAGTGAAACAAGCTTGACACAGAAGGACAGGTGCTGTGTGGTTCGACTCACATGAGGTCCATAGAGTGGTCATACTCAGAGACAGAGAGAGCAGAATGGCCGTTGCCCAGGACTGGGGGTCGGGGGGGAGGGATTGGGAGTTAGTGTTTCACCGGGACAGAGTTTCAGATTGGGAAAATGAAAAGGTCTGGAGATGGATGGAGGGGATAGTTGTACAACAACGTGAATGGACTCAATGCCACTGAACTGGACACTTAAAAAGGGTTAAGAAGATGAATTTTATGTGTATTTTACCACAGTTTAAAAAGTGATTTAAAAAGTATTACTTGATATTATGATATTGTATATTAAAATTTATTCCTGACTTAGAGAAGAAGGGAATTGTGGCAGATCTGTATGTTCTGATACGGGAAGAACAGCTCTCTTAGTGAAATAGATGACTCACAGATAAACAAACTTACAGTGTGATCTCATTTATGTAAAATCCCCAAACAAATGTATATGTTTATAACATGTATTTAAGTCTAGACGTAGAGATAGAACAAGGATACATAGCACGCTGCTCACAGTAGTTCCTTTGGGAAGGCACGACCGGGATTTCCATGTGTTCTCCATATTCACGCACACAGCGAGAATGCTGCCGTGCAGTCCTGTGTGACAGATTTGGCTCATCATAGAGACTTGAGAGGAAGCCATGTGAGGGGCCTGGCTGGGAAAAAGCCAGACTGGAGGGTTTAAGGAGGGAGTGAAAGTGGAAGGAAAGGGTCTCAACAAGAGGCAGGGACAAGTTTCAGAGCTATAGGGGAGAGCAGGGGCAGAATTGAGACAAAATAGGGTGTTTTCAAGAGAAGAGAAATCTGAACCTGTATAAATGCTCAAGGGAGGGTCCAACAGCCAGTGAGATGAGAAAGGGCTCATGAGAAGGTGGGAAGGAAGAGTCTAGAACACAGACAACAGAGGGACAAGCCAGCTCTTGATAAGAAAGATTCAGGGCGCAGGCGCTGTGCACGTTTAATGGCTTCTTTATCTGTGAATAGGGGAGTGGAGAAGGGCCCAGGGCAAGAAGGCCACCAATGCTGCCCATAGCCAGCTCACCCCTCCCTCCCAGCTGGGCTCACGCCAGCCTCCCTCCTCTGCCTCACCCCTTCCCGCCTTTTGCCACACCTCACAACTGCAGGACACACTTTACAATTGCATCAGGACTTCACTCCCAGTCTGGTAGGCAGGCAGACAAGTGGCCAGGTCCCACTTGCATTTTCAAATCGCTGTCCTGGCAGCCTGGATGGATAGGGATCAAGGAGAGGCTGGTCAAAGCCTGGGAGATGGGAGGGGGAGTTGCAGAGGGTGAGAGATGGTGAGAAATGGTGGCACCAATGCGTGAGGCATGAGGCAGCAGGAGTGGGGATGTGAACGCGTTGAGAGCCCTCTGGGAGCTGCAAACAGCAGTTCTTGCAGGCTGACCTAACTGAATCTCACATCCTCTTCACTGCAAAATTATTGTCCTCATTTTCCATGTGTGGGTCTGAGCACTGGAGAAATTAAATCAGTTGCTCAGATGGGAGCATGGCACTCAGTCCCCACGCTGTATCTTCCCCCCCCTTTCTGTGAGGTGCCCCCCAGGGGCTGTCAGGGGGCTTCTGGATGGGGGAAGGGCCCCACACAGTCAAAGCAGTTCTGATCTGTTTCATAAATAGCTATTCTACCCAAGATGGCAGCCAAAAGGGCAGGTTGGAGGCTTTTGAAAACCCTGTCGATGCTCACTCACATGCAGAGAAGTATATAGGCTGGAGGGCCAGCTGGCATGCAATGGGCTCAGCTATCACATCCAGATGCCCTGTGTCCCACCACACCCAGGTGTTCCTAGAAACCTTTCTCATTCCTGTCACCTTGTCAGCTCCCTACCCCCTACTATCAAATCTTTTTCTCCATTGCCCCTAACAAGTGACAGTGACATCTGGGCTGACCATTCTCTTGAGCTGTCAGGGAGGTGTGCCAGGCATGAGAGAAGGAAGTCCCAAACCCCTTTGCAGTCTGGAGACTCCTTCTGCCCAAATGAGCACCAACAGGGCCCATGCAGGAGTCAAACCCAGGGGGAGAGAGGTTCTCTGCCCCTTCAGATAAAATCTGAGACTATAAAGGATGCCCAGCCGGCACCATGATCTACCCTCCCTCTATGCCAGCTTAGGAGAGTGAGCAACAAAGGGACCAAGCCAGGAAAGGGTTAACCCAGGGACGAGCAGCAGAAGCCAATTGATCCACAGCCTCTCCAGGTTGGGCAATAAGTCTGCTGAAGGCTGCTTGGCTGACCTCCTTTTGGTGCCACCAGGCTGGGCAATAACAGCTTCCAAGCTGTCAAGGCAGGACAGGAAGGGCTGGTGGTGCAGAAGGAAACCACTGGGCTCTGCATTTTGAGGACTCAGGAACCGAACAAGGGTTTGTCACTTGACAAGAGTGGCAGCTTCAGGAATTGGTGTAAGAGACTCTGGGACTTGGAAAAACCTGTGAATCACTCTAGAGACCTGGAGCCAGTCCTGGCCTCCCTCCCTGTGTGTCCTGGGACACTTTACTCACCCTCTCTGGGCCTCAGTTTCCTCATCTGTAAGATGGAAAGACTAGCACAGCCAATTTTTTTAAAATCAGAAATATTTGTGGGTAAAAATATTTATTTCTTTTAATGATCAATTTTTAAAAATCAGGAAGGAAGTTTATAGACATCTGGGCATGATTCACGTAAGCTCCGAGTCATAATGCTATCTGTTTTTCTGTTGCCAGTAATCTTTCATAATGTCAGTTTTATGATGGAATTTTAGACGAATACGCCAGATGGAAATAATACAGTTAACATTCAGCTTCGTTTACAACGTCTAAGAGGTTCCATTTAGCTAACTCAACTCCAGCAACAAGTACCTGTTATGGTGAGACCAGTAGACTGGGCAGTTCCAGGAAAAGCCCAGGCAGCCTGTGGGCTGCAGCAGGCAGGTTTATTTGGTCAGCCTGGTGCTCAGGCCCAGAGAGAGACTTGGGCCAGTAGTACTCAAGGCCAAGAAACCAAAGTCAAGGTGGTTGCAGGATTCTGGGGCTGCAGGAGGCCGCTGAGTTGGCTCCTAGTGCCGGGAGACTTGAGTGGTGGGGTGGCTGGTAGGTGCTTTCTGCCTCTCCTGGGAGGAAGTGGGAGCCGGAGGCAGGGATGGAGTGGGAAGGAGTTGTAATGGAGAGATGGATGGGCCTCTCCTCAGTCCTTTCCCTCCACTCTCTCCTCACCCCACGAAGAGGGACTAGGAGTCAGGAAGCCTGGCTCCTGGTCCTGACGCTTCCTCTCAATGTCTTATAACCATGGCAATGCCTGTAATCTCTCTGGTTCTCAGTTTTCAAAAAATGGGGATCTTTTCTGTCTCTGGCTTGCTTATAGGGTTAGGAGAACAAACCCTATGAATCACAAAGCACTCAACAAACACAAGGCACTTCCATTAAACAATGACATAACCCACTGACTCAGAACTGGGGGGTGAGCTCCTGGCCCACCCAGAAGTCAGAGGAGCTGCTCTGCCACTTACCTGGTGGAACTTAGTTAGTTCCCAGTATGATAAATGGAGATGATCCCTGAGGTCCTCCATTTCTTGAACTTGTGATGAGAATCACAACAGATCATGTAGGCGCCAGAGTTTAATATGTTGTTAATCATTTTCATAATAGTACAGAAGAAAGCTCACTCTCCTGGCCCATACTGGCTTCTGCTAGCAGCGGCCTCTTTGCATATCGTGTATGTCGCAGAGACCCTGGTGCTCACCAGGTTTTCCCATCCAGGACCTCCCAAAACTGTCACATACCAAGCTGGCTATACCTACATCAAACAGCTCCCATCTTTTGCCCCCAGGGACCTGTCTGCCCTCGGAGGACCAGCGCCGTGAGTGGCACAGACTGTCATTCCATATTCCCCATCACTTAGAGCAAAGACTGGCACATAGTAGACACTCCACAGATGTGGAATAAATTAATTATGTTCTTAATCTTTTTAACACACTCACCCATCACACCTGGCCCAGGTCATATAGTTCAGGTTCTTTTAACTATTTTTTTAAAAAACTTGAAGCAATAAGAGGTCTGAAGAGTAGTCAAAGAATAAGATGAGTGGCCCTGATTCTGGGGGAAAAAGAGCCAGGTACGCAGCCAGAGGATGTCTAGGCAGCACATCAGGCTAAGAGGTGGACAAGCCTTTGGAGTTGAGTCCTAAATCTTTGGTCCAGGTCTGAGCTGCCATTTATTAGGGGGATTTCTTGGACTTCAGGAAAAGTGTCTTAGCTTCAGTTTTGCCAGCAAGAGAGATACACGGCAGCGAAACAAGAACCAGATGCCATATATGAAAACCACAATACAAATTTTTATTGAAATATGCGGTCAGAGCTCTAAGGATTCTATTGTGTGCAGATTTCCCTAACGTTTCCCAGAAAGGCCTGAAGAGGGCACTGTACTCCAGGAGCAGGGATGGCTGCCCTCAAAATTTTCCTTTGGATCCACCCCTTGACTGACTCCGCCCACTGAGGCTTCACTCCCACCCCACCCCACAAATACACTCGGTAAATACCCTCCAACTCCCAACTGCCCATAATTTCTCCTGCTGCAAATTGCCAAATAGTCTCTCTTTTGCGTATTTGCAAGGGCGTAGTCTGACTTCTCTAAGTCTTGTGATATAAGCAGGAAGAGTCCCCACATAGACTGTAATAGCCAGGAATGGGGTCCTGGTACAGTTTTGTGACATCTTTTGCTATCTGCACATGCCTCTCTTGGGGGGGTAGGTACTTTGCAGCTGAAGCATTATTTCTGGGAAGGAATTTGAAGCGGATTGTCAGAGTAAAGGGTAGATTTAGAAGTAGGGATCAAGAGTGGAGAACTACCTACAGTAGCCCTGGACACAGAATGAATCTCAATGAGAGCTGTCTGGAAGGATGGTTCCTCCTGCAAGTTTCAGAGTAGAGCATCAGTGGTGACTGCACCCAGGCAAGGAAAGAGGTCAGCTGTATTTAGAGGGGGCTTGTGTGTGGAGAAGGCAAAGGCTGATGCTAGGAATGTCACATTAGCTGAAGGGGCCACAGAAAAGAGGCAGGAAATAATAAGGGTCCCGTGGCCAGGGTTGGCAACTGCCTACTGAGAAACAGCCTTGATGGAGCCAACGTATTGACCAGCGTGGGCAGAGCTTGTGGCCTCAGGTCCACTGGGGTCAAGAGGTCAGCTAGGCCATGCGAGGCAGCACGTAGGGCTCAACCCCCTCCACCTTTAGCTTCCCAGGCCCGCTGCTTACTACCAGGATGGGAGCAGAGCCAGGGAAGTAGGGGGTTCCCAGGAAAACAGAAAATCCCAGAGCCACATGTGGTTTTGGTTCTTGCCAGTGAAATTGAGGAATATACAACACCTGGACCCAGGGAGGACCTGGGACCAGCCCCCATTCTACCTTCATGGCTTCTACCCTCCTCCTTGTCCAGTGGGCTCTTGCTGTCACGGGAGTCCCATGAGACCTGGAGAATTCATGGCTTGCCACCTAAACTCTCCAGTCCATCCTGTCCCTGCTTGGTAGGTACAAAAGGAGGTGCTGCCCTGCAACTTGTCCTGGCATCACCAAGATGAGTTTCAGTGTCGCCCAGGACAGCAGTGTCCCCGAGGTTAAGCTCATCTTTAAGTTCCTCCTGCTTCGGAGCCTCAGGCTGACCCAGTGACATCCTTAGATCTGAGTTGAGCTCTGAACAGTTCCTCTGGCCCTTGAGATGTCACCGCTGGCCCTGGAGTGTCCGTGGGATGGGCTGATGCTGAGCTCATAGCCCCTTGACAGGGGGTGGGAGTGGTGGTGTAGAAGGTATGGCATAGGCAGTGGTGGTGAGTGAGGTGGTGGACATGCCTAGGGTGGGAGCACCTGGTCACCTGTCCCCTCTCCTGCAGGCTTCCCCTGTGTACAGCTTCAGCTTTCCCCGCAGAAAATTGGAGTAGATTCGAAAAAGTTTGCACAAAGTATCAACAGAGAATGTTCGGAGTGGAGCAGCAGAGGCTGTGTCTGGAAGGGAGATGGCTTCCTTCTGCTAAAAAGAGAACAAAAAGTTACTGCATGGGGGTCCCGGAGAGAGATGGAACTTGGGACAGAACTGAAGAGGAGATGAGAGAGCCTCAGGGTTCCTTGGCAGGGCCCTTCTGCTGTTTTACAGAAAGGGCAAAGAGCAGTGTGCTACACACCTGGGCTCCCAGCGCCCGAAGCAGGGATGTGAGGCTGCGCAAACCGCTGATGGCTTTATCCACATGCAGATGCAGGGTCTCAACCGGCTGGGAGGAATTGGCCAGCAGGGCCTGGCCCCGAAGTATGGCTTCTGAGAGCAGGGCCAGGCCCTGCCATACTTCTGTGGCCTGCTGCCCGACCTAAAGGGAAAGGACACTTGCAGTTAGTTGGCCCAAGGCAGCCCCTCCCTTTTACTCTCAGCAGCCCCGAGCTCGAGGCTGAGCTAACAGAAGGCGTGGAATAAGTTTTGTGGAATGAATGAATGAACATACTCCATTCAGCCCTCGTCTTTGCTACTCCATTTCTTCTCTCTCTGTATCATTCTCCCTCCAATCCTATTGGATTCCCCAAAATAAGACTCCCCAATAAGAAGGGGAAAAAGATAAACTCACCTCCATCCTCTTCCAAGCATGGAAGTTAACTTTGGTGTCTGGGACGGTGATATTCTCACCAAAACTGCAGCTTTCCGCACAGCCCATCTGAAACGCACAACCCCAGGGGCTTGGGTCATACGACCCTCCAGCTTTGTCCTATATCTGGCTTCCACATAGGTTTTACTGGGGGCTCTGGCTTCCCACCTCCACCCCTGAACCAAGGGCCAGGAAGGAGTCCAGGTTCCCGGATCTTGCTGTACCCCTGGGCCTGACTTCTGTGGACTTGTCCCAGGAAGGGGGCCTCACCGTGGCATTTTCAGCCTCCCTGGCCTCCAGGATGTACCTCTCCAGGACTCGGCTGTCACAGATAAGGTGTGGCAGAGCACCCATGACGGGGAGGCCCAGAGGGAGCAGCAGCAAAGAGAACAGCAGGAGCAGGGCAGGACATTCTAGAAAAGAGCCAGACTGAGTGAGCAGCAAGGAGGGGAGGAGAAGGCTCGTTTTGAGGGGCAGGTTCACGCATCCCGTTCCTCTGCCCCCAGTCAGTCCTCCGACCCCAACCTGGCCCACGCTCAGGTTCTGCTTCCTCTGCCTTCATTCAATCCGGCTGCAGTGTGCACACCCCATCCCCCAACTACCGGCATCCACTTCTCCAGGCCAAACTTCAGTCCCAGTGTGACAGAAGCTGCCCCTCTCGCAGATCCGGGTTACTGCACCAAGACCCAGGTATCAGCTTCCTCTTCACCCAGAGAGCAGCCCCTCGCTCCCCTGAACCCCAGCCCAAACCTTGTCCCCGACTCCAGGTCAGATTGCGCCTCTCCCTGGGACTCCCCAAGCCCTACCGGCACGTGGAGGCTGCCCCACCCCCCTTGCCCTTCCAGGGGCTTTGGCAAGTGGCGGGTCCTTGAACCCAGCCACCTCGGGGCCACTAGCCCCAGCGGTAAATTCCTCTTCAAACAGAGGCCGAGGTGGGCGGGCGAGTACTCACCGCGCACCCCCATCTCCGCGCCCCTCCCAGCCCCTCAGCGACCCGCGGCTCGGCGGGCGCCCTCGCGGGGGGCCCTCATCCCGGGAAGCTCGGCGGGCAGGGCGAGCCCACGGCCGGGTCGGGGGCAGAGCGAGTGAGGGCCCCTAGCCAGGGTCCGGCAGGACGCGCGGCGAGACGACCGGCCGGGGTTGGCCAGGAACTGCCGCTGCGGCCGGGGGTCGGAGCTGTTATCAGCCTGTGTGCGTGCGTGTGTGGGGGTGGGGGGCAGGCTGTGTGCGTGAGGGGTCGCGGGAGGTGGGAGCCAGCGGGGTCAGACAGGGCCGGGACGCCTGGGTCGGGGGCTCCCCTGGGCGGGAACCGAGCGGCGGCGGGCGCGAGGCACCGCTCCCTGGGCATCTGACCCCGGGTTCGAGGGTGCCCCCGGGTGGGCGCCGGCGAGAGGGCTGCCGTTCTGGGAAAGGTGGGAACCCCGACTCCTCGAAGGGTCGGGGGGCTCAGAGCTGGGAGCGCCTGGGTGCCTGCAAGGCTGACGGGTCTGAAAGCTCGGACGGTGCTGGCAGGCACAAGTCGGTTGCCTTCCTTCCCACAGCCCCAGTACTTACCCCAGTGCTGTTCGTTTCCAGTTATTTGATGGGAGTGCAGGAAGCAAGAAATTTGAGGGTCTTGTTCTCCCACTCCTCACTTTCTGAAAACCCAGAAATTGAACTTTTAGGGCACAGAGCACATGGTATGCTGTGCAGGGCACATGCAATTTGACATCCTTTTTCTGACCTGTGATACAGGTTAGCCTGCGTGACAAAACTCTGGAGAGTTCTGAAACAGCCAACCAGCACAGTGACGGCAGTTCAGATTTGCAGCTAAACCGTTATGGCTTCTAGGAAGCCCTGAGGCAGAGGAGCAAGCTCCCCAGAGCAGGAGTCCAAGACTGGCTGGCCTAACTTTGGAAAGTAGCCTCAGTGGCTTTCCCTGTTAAATGGACATTGATGACAGTACAGTCCCACCCCACTGAGGGTCCATGGAAGACAGCAAAGTCCTACAATACAGGTGGTTGTATGTATTCCTTTCCTTCCTGTCCAGCCTCTATGATATTATTTTATTAATGGACTCAGCACCTTCTTTGTGCAAGACACTTGACTACACACTCTCAAGACAAAAAAACTGAGAAGCTCCTGCCTCCTGGAGTTTGTAGCTTACAACAGAGATAAGATGGGTACACAGGGCAGTGTGTGGGATGGGAGAATGCAGACTGAACTGGGGGAATCAAGGAGGATTTGATGGTGGAAACAACAAGGAGCGCAGCCTAGAAGGGCTGGTAGGATTTTATTGGGAAGAGATGTGAGATTGGCAGGAGAGGCCGAGTCAGCTAACTGAAAGGAGGATCAGGTGTGGGTTCATGGAAGAGAGAGATGGAGATTAGGTTAGAGCACTGGTGGGGAAGGGCCTTGAATGCCACTCTGGAGCATTTGAATTTTGTTAAGAAAGAATGGGAAACTTTCATTCACTCACTCAAGAAATATTTAGTTCTTCAAGAAATGAATATTCATTAAAGAAATACATAAGACCTGGGGCTAGAACAGGTGAGTGAAACAGACAAGATTGCCTGCCCTTGTGGAGCTGACATTCTAGGGGAGAGACAGATGGTAAACACAAACATGAATGAAAGACAGAGGTTCTCCCAAGGCAATGACAAGGAGAAGAGGCATGGAAGGGGCCCAAGAGGTTGCAGTTTTAGAGGAGGCAGTCAAGGATGCCTGCTGAGAAGTGACTTGAATAAAGTCTTATGAAGTTGAGGGAGGGAGCCATACAAGGTGGGGGCATGATCAAAGAGGAGGTCAGAAGGATGAGTGGGAGGGGCAGAGACAGGCTGGTGTGCTTCTGACAGGAGATGATGAGGCCCTGAACTTGCTCCCCTGTCCTGCTCTGGGGCCCACCGGCACTGCTGGACTGACTCCCATCTGCACAATCCCACTGCAGCCGCTGATCCCAGTTTCCCTGGTACCCAGGCAGCCTCCCAGCCGCACTTGGCCTGCAGAGCCAGGTTCTGCTCACTTCCCAGATCCCAGCTGTGGGACAAACACATGTACACTCACGTCCACACACATCTGAACGTGCATTCTGTCCCACCCCCCACCCCCACTCCCCCGGCTCTGCTCTCTGGGTCCTGATTCCTGCGTCACTGCCCTGACCTGACCACAGAGAGGGGGCCAGAGACAGATGTAGGGTGGACACAGCCTGAGGAGGAGGAGGAGAGGAGAAGCCTTTGGAGCTGGGGGACTTACTCTTTTCATTATAGCAGCTTGTCTGAGGCCCCTTGGCCCCTAACTTCAAGAAAGGAGGGAGATGGGCCATGAGCACCAGCCCCTGGGTGCTAGGACCTGCTGGACCAAGTGGTCCCAGCTCATCCTCTGGGGCTTTTGGAGAGGTGGAGAGAGGATCTCACCTGTCCCATGCCCAGCCCCTTAACTGTAGTAATCCTACTAAGAGGGCAGAAGCTGGTTTGGGGGCCAACTTCAACCCATGTGCTCCTGGGTACTGCCCAGCATAGTCCAGCTAGCCATCCTTGACAACAGGGTACCCTGACAGCATGAAGAAAGCAGGAGACAGCTACCTGGGGTCCCCCTTCTGATGCCCACCACCCAGCCAGTGCCCCCTCCATCTGCTCTGTGTGTTCTCTGGCATGGTGCTGGCCCAGTACTAGGACCACTGCCAAGGGTCTCCTTACTGGCCTCTCCAGTTAATCCCCAAGTCTGCCACTAGATTAACTTTCCCATTGAAGAGCCTCGTTCATGTCACTCCCCAGAGCAGGAGCCTGTCCTGGATCCCAGCTCCCTCAGAACCAAGACCCTCTGTGTTCTGCCACCCACCTACCTTTCCAGCCTATTCTCCCATTTGCTCATTCCCACTCCCTACATCACTGGGGTTCAACTAGATGGTTTGCTGCTTCCTGCCCTTTGCTCACTCTGAGCCCTCCACCTGGGTCACCAGCCAACCTCCCTTCTTCAAAGCCCAAGCCCAAGCATTACCTCCTCTATGAAGCCTTTCCTGATCCCCCAGTGGGAAGCTGTCTCCTTTTTCTGCACTGCCATCATTTATGTTTCCCACAGGCTGGGCCACCACATACAATTGTCAAGGCTGAGCTCTGCCCAAATCCAGGGGGTGTCATTCATATAGACTCTGATAGGAATGGTACTCTCTGGAGTCAGGCAGCACAGGTACCCTATTAATCAGAGAAGAGAGCAAAGGACAGTGTAGGGCAGGTCTTGTTCACATTGCCACCCAGCAGGCATCCAGCATATCGCCTGTTTGTGTTCAGTATTCATGTGTGGCTTGCACTATGTGGTCCCTCCATTCCAAACACCTCAACCAGAGAACAGGAAGCCTTGACAGGGAAGTGAGATAATCCTGAGTGCATGCTGGAGCCAGGCCTGGACAACCTAGCTCTGGGGTCTCGGGGGCTTGTGAGGCCTCCATCCACTTCCTGAGCAAGCAGCCACTGAGGCAGGGCCTGAAAAGGCACAGTTGTGACAAGAGGATGGTGGGGGTGGAGGCAGGCTCTGTTCCATGGAGTCTTCCTGGCAGCCAACTCAGACTGAAAATCCAAGAAGCAAATTTACAGTCCCCCTGAGCTGTCCCAGACCCGGGGCAGCATGAAGCCCCAGCTGCCTGGAGTCGTGCTGGGGATGAGGTGGGACCTCTGGGCCTCTCCTCCCTCCTCCTTTCCAAGCAGTGGCTTCTTGGCTTGGTTTGGGAGTTCAGCCAGCGGTGCAGAAGACCTTCTGTGCTGGGAAGTGAGGTGGCCGGGGAAAATGGAGGGTGTGTGTGGAGTGGAGGGGAGGGCTTCCTGGCCCTTGGGGAACTGGGAAGGGAGCAAGAATACTGGACAACGGATTCCTACCAGAGAACCAAAGAAAGTCCTGTGTGAAGGTCAATTTTGAGAAACTGAGGCAAGGGCTGCTTATTTGGCCACTAAGTAGCCAGTAGAACCAGATATCTGTGTTTCTGTTCTCAGCCACCAACTCTGTGGCCCAGGGCTTAAAGTGGATGCCCAGTAAACAGGGGAGCCCAGATTGGTGCCTGAGTTCTGCCACTTACTAACACCTGACTTGGACAAGAGACTTTATCCTCTGAGTCTGGGGATGGTGTAAATGATAGTAATCACTTTGTAGTGCTGTTGTAGGATTAGGTAACGCCTGGCACAGGGCAATCAATAAATGCAAGCTATTATTATTGCACTCTGCTTTATTAGCTCTCCTATGTGTCCTTCCTCTGGAGGCCAGGAGACCAAATCTTCAGCATATTTTCAGCCTTTCTCCAGTGTCCTCTGCACAGGTTCATAGCACTTATCTCTGGTGGGGTAGCTGTCCCACCAAGCAACCCACTAGAAAAGATCATGAGAATAGTGGGGTGTGGACAGAGGTATCGCTGAATGTATGCATCAGGCACATTACTGTTCATGTCTTCCTTCATGCACCAGCAAAAAGTTTCTGTACTTTCAGGAAAGTGTATTTTTCTTGCAGCAAGTAAGATTCAGACTCTGAGCTGGAAGGGTCCTAGAAGGCTCCATGAAAGTGAAGTCCACCCTCTGCTCGCTTACTTCCTGGGACAAGACATTTGCTCTTTCTTAAGGGACCAGATGCTTGTTATGGATTAGATAGCAAGCTGTTCCCCTGGGCAGCCATCTGTGCAGCTTTCCATTCATATGTCAGACATTTGCTAGTTATTGAATTGGGCAATGAAACAATTTCTCCCTTAGGTTATCTCATCAGTTTGACAACTAACTCCCCTGATCACCCCTCGAGAGAACAGAACGAAGGAACAGGCTTCATAAAAAATTAACTTTTTCTTATTACAAGAACAAAGCATGATGCCAGAGAAACTGGCAACTATGGGTAAACCAAAATACATAAATTAAGATATACCCAAGATGCTGTTAGGAAGATGGAGTCGTCAGTGGTAATTTTCAGACTACTTTCTTGGTGAGAAAACCTTTGCCTCACCCTACACTTCTGTACA